AAGAAGTGGCTGACAGTGAATCTTTATGGAGAGAAAGATGTAGAAGAGAAGGATACAACCTTCGTGATTCTTCCAAAACACCTGAAGACTGGAGGTTATTTTACTTCTTATGCAAGAAAAGAAGAAATCTTCTCAAGAATCCAAGAGGAGAAGGTCAGAATCCTTGAAGCTCAACAACTGATATGAAAAACAGTTTTTGTGTGTTTAAAAATAAAATGAGATGCAAACCTTTGTGGGTTTTTGTTTTCCTAGGAAAAATGACAGGTTGGATGATAAAGGAGAATGGTGGTGATGGGTGGAAATTAGAGGACGTTATGGTGCCACATCCAAATGAAGTAGTCAAGAAAAACTTTGTGACCTCTTTTCAGTGAGTATTTACCAGTAGTCCTCCAAAAAATAAATGGCAATTATTTTTATATGCTTAATTCAAATGACGTACTAGTATTAAATGTTAAACTATTTTAAAATCATGTCTGTTTTTGCAGAATGTGCACAAAGGAGCAGGTAATTGATTTGGAAAAGGAAGGCTACAGCCCGACCTTTATGGATAAGTTCAAACCAGACATCAAAATATCTGATTGGTAAGATGAATACACATGACATACTGACAGTTTTTTAGTTAGTTGCAAAAAGGATTTGGGTACACTTTTTAAAAGCATTTCAAATGTACATTAGATTTGTTCAAATCATACTTTGATTATAATCAATATGAAAAAAAAAAAATATAAAATTAAGGTATTCATTTGCAACAGCACTGGTACCAACAGAGCCCTCTGGGCCTTCTCTAGCTGACACACAACTTTAAACAGGACCAATGCAGACAGTCAGGCACATAGCTCCTCCTCTCGCTGATAGATGAAATAGTAAATCCTCATAACACTGAACAAAACTTTTCAAGAATTTCGAGAGGTTCCCGTTGTTATAAATGCATACGTTAACATTAACCATTTCTCTATTAGCAATTAACTGATAGCTACATTTGCCATTGGTTATTATTAACCTAGCTGCTAGCGGACTGTAGTTAGATAAAAGATGAAAAATGACTGCAGGCTGAATGTGTCGCGGATGGAAAATTGAGATGTGACAATGCGGATTACGGACACATAGAGAACCGGGCAGGTTGCTGTCTGTGCAGAGGAGCAGGGAAACTGTAGTTGAACTGATCACAGAGTGTGCAGAACTAATCTGAGCAAAAAGAGTGAAACCTGGAGCAGAGCAGCCAAATCATACAAGTTTGGGCTTGAAGAGCAGCACTGAGGATGTAAAGAACTGCAGACAGAAGCGGAGCTGTGTGAACATTGAATGAGAGAGAGACTGCAGGCAGATGTGGACAATATGATAAACACTTCTACTTTTGCAATAGTAGAAAAGTTAATTTTTAAATTTTCAATATAGTTTTTCTATACAATAATTAAATTATTTAGATGTTAAGTATTGTCATGTTTGTTGTGGCCTTTGGTTTATTAATACATTCTTAAATATTTCTCGATCTGTAATGAAATTATCTAAATAGTTTGTAAAACAAATAATATCTCTAAACTTGCTTTGCTAAATTCCATTTTTTGAGACATGACTTCTTTGCAAATAGTTCTGTTGTTGTGGCATGGGGTCAGAATTTTCCTGTTGATATTGAAAATGGTGTTGAGATCAAGTTTGAAAACCCTACTTTGTGCAAAAAATTTGCACTTAACAAAAACCTTTAGGTCATGCCCAAAATAAAAAGTTTTTTAGTTTTTGAAACAGTGGAACTAAACAAAACTTACTGATAACATATAGGAATATATCCCTTTTAAGGCTTGAATAATAAGAGAGAAAAACGTAGCTTGATATGATTGGTGATCCCTAATCTTTGTACAAATACATCCTCGTTACAGGTATGCACCACGATGGGATTGTGGATGTGAATATTCAATCCTTGTGCAGTTGCTGGATGCAAAGCAGAATGTTATCCAGTCGTATACTCCCGATACTGTTTTCTTTGATCAATGGAATGATCAGGAGTGGAAACAGGTATGTACAAAGTGAAATTTAATAAAGTTTAGTAACAGTGCAGAACCCACCAGCATATTTGGTCTACCGATATTTATTTTTCAGAAGATCCATGTATTCCGGGACTATAGACGGGGAGTGAGATACATTCGTTTTAGCCATGGTGGCAAGGACACACAGTTCTGGGCTGGATGGTATGGAATACGTGTCACAGACAGCAGCGTTGAAATATGTCCAGCAGTGGACACATAGCTTGTTGGAATTTGTCCAGTTCTTCCATCCTGCGTTTGCCTGCAATTGCACATTATCTTCTTACATCTCACTGACCATCTATTCATGTTTCCAGAACTATAATCTCTGTATGTGCACAAGTTTTCCAGTGAAAAGTCATTTTCTTTAATGTTTCACACAGAACACCTTAAATAAACAAAAGTCTGTTCACTTGCTTTGTGCGATTGTCATTGTGATGTCAATATTGAAGATTACTGAGTATTATTTAATTTGACACGCTAAGTACTATTTCATGTACAAATACATGTCAAAGTTTACACAAATTCAAAATGAAATGATCACTAATTTGTAGCTGGATATCCGGTTTTCATGAGCCCATCCATCCATCCATCCATTCTCTTCCACTTATACTTTTCAGGTTTGTGGGGGGGTGCTGGAGTCTATCCTAGCTGTCTTAGTGCGAGAGGCAGAGTAGACCCTAGAAAGGTCGTCAGTCTTTTGCAGGGCTAACACAGAGACAGACAACCATTTTTCACTCACATTCACACTTATGGGCAATTTAGAGTTACCAATTAATTAATTCCACAACTTTTCATGAGCCAATGTTTATCAACATTAAAACAAAAAATCTTTGGAAAAATATACTTTGTAATGATTTGTAAGATGCATTTGTATAATTTGATTAAATTAAACATTTTGTGTTGTCCTGTAAATTTGTTAAATTTTTATCTGGAAA